TGAATGCTGAACTTAATAAGGAGTTCAAAATGAAGGATCTAGGAGCTGTATCCAGGATTCTTGGGATTGACATCCGAAGAGATAGAAAGTAATCAAAATTATGCTTATCTCAAGAGGCATAACTACGGAAGATTCTCGACAAGTTTGGTATGTCTAATTCAAAGCCTGTTGTGACTCCAACAAATCCTCAATTCAAGTTGAGTATATATCAGTGTCCCAATACTGATGTCAAAAGAGCTTATATGAATAACATCTCATATGCTAATATAGTAGATTTTTTTATGTATGTTATAGTTTGTACTAGACCCGACATATCATATGAAATAAGTCTTGTAAGCAGGTACATGGTGAATTCTGGAAAGGCTCACCGGCAAGTATTGAAGTGGATTCTAAGATACATAAATGGGTCTCTGAACAGAGTCCTAATTTATGGTGGAGCCTTGGGTGAAGATAATAAAGTAGTAATCGAAGGATACACCGGCTCTCATTATGCATGTTATATGGATTCTAGAAAATCTATTTATGGATATGTTTTCACTATGTTTGACACAAAAATTAGTTGGAAAGCTACACTTCAAAAGGTTGTTGCCTTATCAACCACTAAAACAGAATATATTTCCCTCACTGAAGCTGTGAAAGAAGCATTGTGGCTTGAACGTTTTTCTAAGGAGCTGAAACTTCAAGGTCAAGTTATCACTATTAAATATGATAGTCAAAGTGCAATACACCTGTCGAAGAACTCAACTTATCACTAGCGAACCAAGCACATCGATGTGAGTTTGCATTTTATCAGAGGGGTAATCGAGCATGAAGAAGTCCAAGTGCTGAAGGTTTCGACATATCACAATGCTACTGATATGATAACCAAGACATTGCCCAGTTTCCAGTTTTTCCCCTATATGCAGTTGATAAAGCTGCATGAAGAAAGCTAGTTTGTTCTTTGACATTAGAGTTTGTTCCAAGATGGATATTTGTAAGATATCAGATCGAACTCTATTGGGTCAAAGAGTAGCTTGTAGTTCGACAGGATTTATGCATGCCATCGAAGTATGTTCACATGCTGGTGTCGAAGACCTACATATTATAGTCGAAATATGTTCTAGTATGTGGGTGTCGAAATGCTAGGATTGTTAGTATTTTGAATTGGGCATGTTTGTTATGTCCAATTGTTTAAGTTAGCTTGTACCTAAGTTATCTTGTAATGGGTATTTGTGAAATATCTCATTAGTGTAGTATGTTAGAATTATTATAAATATCATAATAGTCTCTCATCATTGCGCATAACAATTCCTAATTTAGGACGAGAGGGTTATTTGTTATTCTTGTGTACTTGTAATCTTATTTAAAGAAAGTAAAGAATATAAATTAATAACCAATTCCTCGTGTTCTTCTTATTTTTCCATTTTTTTCTACCCTTGCGTGTTTTTTGATCATAGAGAAACCGTTTATACTTTATTTCTAATGCACCATTTTCACAACAAAGCCAAACACTCTTAGATGCTTAACTGATTCTTTTACCCTATTCCAAAGCTCCTCAAATACTTTTTTACTTGCTTGGTAGGACACCTACTGAAAACATAAGTTTCTATGGACACAACTTCATCCCATGATGTGCTTGAGCATACTTCTTGTCATGTCAAGAAAAATTATACATCTTCTTTTTGCAAGTACATTATGTTGTGGTATACAAGGAGTTAATACATAATTATAACTTATGTGTAATGCATGTTTCACCAACCGCTCACTAAACATATAACTTTTTGATTTGATTTAAAAAGTATAATATGAAAAATTAAGTTAAATTTAAAGAACAACTTACACTAATAAATGTTTTTTTATAGTTTTCTCCAACTCATTATCTATACCTCACTCTTAAATAGTTAGAATTTGGTACAATGCTTATAATTCTTCAATCAACACTTCCATCTTTACTAGTTCATTCTACAACTTATCAAATTTGTTGAGAAATTCATCATCAGCATCATCATTATCATCATGATGATGAATATGAATTTCTCAACAAATTTGATGCTTTGCAGAATGAACTTTTAGAGAAGGAAGTGTTTATTAAATAAATAGAAGTATCGAACCTAATTCTAACCATTAAAGAGCGAGATATAGATAATGGGTTGCAGAAAGCTCGAAAAACATTGATAAGTGTAAGTTGTTCTTAAAATATAACTTAATTTTTTAGATCATTATTTTATAATTTAATTTGAGAGGTTATATGATTAGTTAAGGGTTGGTAAAATACTCAATCAACATACGATATAATGAACTCAATTGTATCTTTTATCACTTCACTTTAACACCTTCCCCTTGAAAACTGAATGAAATGAAAGCTGCACAAGAAATAAAATTCCCAACAACAACACAGGGAAACAAAAAAATATCAATAACACAATCTTTTAACTATATTCTATATCAACAAAAAAACAACAACATAACTAACAAAAATCACAACAATAACATAACATTTTACTTATCTCAACAATAAAAATAACATAACTCAACAAAAACATCTACGTTAACAAAAATCTTTTACTTGTATGAATAAAAAACAACAATATAACTTAACAAAAACAACAACATAACTAACAAAAACCACAAGAGTAACATAATTTTTTTACTTATCTCAACTAAAACAACAACATAAAACTTTTAATATATTCTTGGCAACAACCACAATAACTCTAAACCTTTTATTAACTCGACAAAAACAAGAAAATAACTTAACAAAAACATTACAACATATATGATTTAGTGTCTCAACAATAAGAAAAAAAACAAACCCTAAATGAAAAATAGTTTAAACAACATCAACAACATAACTCATAAAATGAATGTTGGAAAATGTTCCACATTCGTACCGGGAATGTGAAAAGGAAGACAGAGAAATTAGTTTCGTGTTTTTGTCTTGCAAAGATTTGTGCAACCTTTCCTTGATCCATACTAGTTGGAGAAATTATGTTGGTGTTTTGTAAAGACATATTGGAGTTTTGTTATATTGGAATAAAGTGTTAGAGGTTAGGGTTTCACTTATAGAGCTACGGCGTAGTCTGTTCTAAAGTGAATAAATTTTAGCTTATATAGGTAAAACTTTTCACCACGATTCATAGAAGAAACCGTGTTGAAATGTCCCTTACATTTCATCATGTTTGTTACTTTAGACCGTGGTGAAAAATACTTTTATTTTTATAAAAAAATAAAGATCAAGGGATTCAAAATGTGTCACTCATTTATATTTAACCACAATTGTTAATTTGGAACGTGGAGAAAATTGATTTAAAAAAGACTCCTAATAAATAGATATTACTTTGGTGGAATTAACAAGGGTGTACTAAGAAACTGTTTCAAAATGTATAGTTTGTAGTAGTGCAAGAAGATCACCATAACAAATTCTTTCTGAACCGCCATATTTGCAAAATGGCATATTTGGATGCATCATTCATCAATGTCTTTGATATATATGAAAGTATATGTCTAAACTTACTCAAATACTTTTTGTTCAATAAGTCAAAGCCTTCATACCCAAGGTTAACCAGAATATTTTATTCAAACCTTAGATTCAAAGAAGATGCTCTTATATCAGAAGTTTGCACGACCATAATGGGTGAGAATACAAGAATTAGCCATTTTTGAAAATTCATTTATTTAAAAAAGTACCAGAATTTAAAATGGTTTGGTGGGCCAAAACATGACGCATATAAAATTGATATGCTTATGGGCAGTTGTAGCAGTGAAAACTTGGGACCAAGACAAGGGAATGGGAAAAGAGCAAAATAAAACCCAAAAATAAATATGCAAAGCAAGAAGCAAAACTAAAGGTGAATCAAAAGCAATGCAAATAAGAGATCTAAGGTATGAGGGTTGGTTATGCAAAGAGAATGTGTTAGCACCCAATGCATTTGTGGTACTCCGCGGGAACCTCTTGAAAATATCTGTATATTTTGGCTAAAAATTATTTGCTAAAAGATTGGGTCTTAAGGACCAAACATAAACAAGGACACTAAGAGGAACAACTAACATACAAGTCAAGAATAAAACATGACGAGAAAGTCAAAGGAAAAAAAATAAATCATACAAGTCAAGATTAAAACATGACAAAATAATTAATACATACATATGAGTCAAGATTAAAACATGACACAATAGTTCACATATAATTCCCTTCCCTTAAATTTAAACATAAGTATAACAAAGAGTGAACTCAAAAATATACGTAAGAGTAAATTACCAACATATTTTTAATTACGAAAGAAAAGTTATAAGGAAGAAATATAAAAAAACTACAAGAAAATAAATTCAAACAAATAATTAATGACAAATGAAGAATGGGAACGAAAATGACAAAGAAAATCAAGTATAAAGAAATGAAACAGAAACTAAACAATTAAACTAAAAGTATTAACTAAATTAAACAATTATTTAAAAGTTCTAAGTAGTTACTAAATTAAAATTTAAAAACTAAACTAATAATTAAAACATTAAAACTATCTAAAATTATATATAAAAAAAACATGGTTATTACTTAATTGATAAAAAAACTTAAGTAATTAAAACTAATAACACTAAGAAAAATTATATAAAAGTGTGGTGCAAAACAGAAAAGTAGGGTGTGGAAGATAGAAACTTCATATTAAGCTTAAAGAGGTAAAAGTCCATTGCTTATGCAAAGCCTAAATAGCACTAAGAGCAGCCACTAGTTTCTTGGAATGGTCAACAGATTAATGCAAAATAATTTCCAATTAATTTTCAAATAAGCTCTTAATTAAAGAGAGTAAAGTCACATTAACCTCTTTATCAATTCACATTCCAACCTTTTCACACTCTTTCTATCATTCTCAAAAATCAAAATCTTTCTCCTCTCAAATCTTTCGATCTACTCCCTCTTCTCGTGAATTCCTCTGTTCTCACGGCCATCATCTCTTAAATCGGTTTCTCTGTTTCTCTAATGGTTTCTTGTTTTACTCACTCATTCATAAACAAAATTAAGTGCT